CCCCCGGCCGCCCCCGCGCGCGCTCCTCGGCGCGCCACCCGCCGGAGCGCGCCATCTTTGCAGCGCGAGGACGCGCAAGAGCTCCTCCCTTCCGCCATCCGCCTGCGGGCCAGGGGCGTCCGGCGAGGCGCGCTCCCGCAGCCAGGCTCGGAAAGCGACGGTGCCTGCTCGCGAGGCGCCCCACCTGTGCGCCGCAGGGAACAGCGCCATCCCGGCCCCGCCGCCGCCTTCCGTGGCGCTCCGCTTCGCATCCCGGACTTGGGGCTTTCGCTTGGCTTCCCTTGCCAGGGATTTCGGGGTCCAGAGGCTTCCTATTCCTCAGCGAGGTCGCCATCTGCAAAATCACTGGGAATCCACGCGCTCTTGTAGGAGACGGCTCGTATCTTAAGGATGCCTCGCGCTTAGGAAAAAAAGGAAAGGGAAGCACCTCGCCAATGGAAAACAAGTACAGGATGAATCCTTGATGTGCTAAAATTTCAGCTTTGTTTCCGACTAGGGTGCAAAACTCGAAATTGCACCTACCAGGTGAACTCAGCCTGCCCGTTAAAACCGCAGCATGCCACCCCCTTATTCTGCGTGGCTGTTTTCATGCAACATACTTGCCCCTGATTAATTAAACCAGGGCTTATTCCTGTAACCAGTCTTCCGGGTTCTACAAGGAGCCAAGCCCTGGACTGCCTTCCTAGCACAAGCTGTTTCCGGCCTTTGGCTGTAATAAAGATGTATTCATTCAAACCACATGCTAGAGAAGCGGTTCAGTGGGCCAATGCAATGGGCAGAAGGAATAACCTTGAAGGACTGGAGGAAGAGCAGCAACCAAGACAAGGATCAGATAAAAGAAATCCGAGTTCTGGCCGGAGACCCCAGAAAGCATCTCAGGCAAGACCCTCCCTCATTCTCTTGAGGGAGGGAGGGAGGGGGGAAGTACATTCAGATGTGCAAAATTAATGTCAGCCCTTCCAGGTAGACCAGACTAGAAACCAAAATCGTGCATGCTAATACTACTTTTATTGTAAAGCTATAGTAACACAGGGACTAGGGAGGGTCTTGTCGGAGACACTTTCTCAGGTTACAGTTCTGGCCAGACTCAGATTTATCTGACAGTGTCTTGGTTGTGGCTGTTCTTCAAAGTTATGCCTTGTGCCAGCCGTCACTACTTTCAAACCAGCAAACGTGTCTGTCCACTACCGCCAGTTGTTAAGCCACCTCTTTCCTTGTGCTTTAAATGAGGCCTGGTAGAAGGGGCCCTTGAGGGAGGCTCACTGTGGGGTGAGCACAGAGGCAGCAGTTCCAGTGACAGAAGTATCCCAACCCCAACAAAAAAGGGTCCAGGTAACTGGAACTTAACCAGACAGACAAGTTGAACAGGTGAGGGAGCCAGGGCAGCTGACCTTCCCTTCTAACAACATTGCTTTCAGGTAAATAAACTCAGCAGAGAGAGAGATTTGAAGATCAAAAACCAGTATGGCTGCATTACCTAGCCAATGGCTGGGCCAAACCTAAGCTATGATGTGGTTTTCTTGCTTGTATCTTAGGAGCGTTAGGAGAACTTAGCCTAGGTGGGAAGTAAAGCCATGATTTGTGGCTTAATATGTTGCGTGAACCCAGCTGACTGTGGTTTATTAAGTACAGTGGTTAAGCAAGATACAACTTAATGTGTTGCTGGAACAGAGCCAGTGTACTGCATACAGTGTACTGCATACATCAGTGTCACATGATCTAATGATGGGGTGTATGTTCAGCATGATAAGTTTCTGGCTTTCGGGGAACAAGCTCTTAAGACACAAAAACTGGAGGCCGACAGAGACAGAGGTCCTTGGACAAAGACAGGCATGTTTTTCCTACATAGTGCACAATTTGAGGGCATCATTCCATTCAGAAAATGGAAATTTACGCTATGAGCACCAGTTCACACAACATGCTCAATACAGTTTGCCAGCTTAGGCCAGGATGTTACATGGATCCAGCAAATGGTAGATTATTTACTAAACCATGGTTTAACTGATATGTGACACTAACCCATATATAGATGTCTGGGCTTATAGTCTCTGAGCTTAAATAGGAAATGCTTTTTGGGTAACAGATCTCTGAGAATAACATGGCAGGCACAACAAAATCTGTTGGAAGGAAAAGAACTAGCAGGATACAATTAGCACTCCGGAAATCAATGCTGTCAGATTTGAAAGCTCACTGGGGTTGCTGTTGTACGTTAGTGAAAGAAATCAGAAGGGGCAAATGCCTCCTCAGAATCACTGTTGCTGGTTAGATTCCAGAAGTTACCTAATTCTTGGGATGTAGGTGCCTAGGATCATCATAAATATGAAGAAAGTAATTAGGGAGACATTAGTTTTGCGGTAATGCAGGTCATGACTGTAATTGGGACCAGCAACTCCACCACTAAGTGACAGTTATAAGGCGTGATGTCATGTGACCATGCTGACTTACAACGGCAGTTGCAGCAGTTCCAGTTGCTGTCGTTAGGAAAATTCTGCGCAGTCACAACGTCCCGTGGTCACATGATTGCCATCTGTGACCTCCTACTGGCTTCTTGCTTGTCAGAATCTAGCAAGGAAGGTCCCAAATAGTGATCACATGGGACCCTGCAACGCCCACAGCTACAAGGACCCATCATAAGTATCCCCCATTCAGCACTGTTGTAACTTCAAATGGTCGCTGAACAAGTGGACATTAAGCAAGGACTACTTGTATGATTTCAATGACCCCTCTGTAAACAGGACAGAAATCTGTGGATGCAGGTTTGCCCAATTCATCACACTGAGGGCTGCAGTACTGGCAGCAACTCCAACTGTAGTCTGCCAGCATCTGGCTTCCTTGGGTTAAAACTCTGGAAATGCACACTCACATGCTTATTGTTGCTAAGGTCAATTTCCAGAAGAACTTCTTAAAGTACATAAGTGCAACTGAGACATTTCCACCACCCCCATGCAGCTTTTCAAAGTCATTAAGATCCATCTGGGCCGTAGCAGAAAAATTGGAAGCATTTCGCCCTTGAAATGCAGATTGCTGCTGAGCGTCATTGCCCCTGCGCTCCCCACGGCCAGGGAAGGAAGACGTCCATCAGCACATGCTTTCTGGAAGCACCTGCTACTCTGTGCTC